TACAGTCTAGCATCTCCATCAGATAGTCTGACACTTCTCACAGAAGTCTGACACTATTTGGCTCTTTCAGGTAAATACCAGACATTTCAACTTCAGTTTTTGCTGGATTAATAAATGTACAGACTAACAGATCAAGCTGATATTGTTCATGTAATGATCTAAACTAAGAGGAGAGTGTTGCATGGCTATTCCTGTCTCGGCAACACGTCCTGGTGGGGTTATTTTTACACTGCTGTAAACAGACACATTCCATTCCACCTGTAAGGTCAGCAGCAGCACCTCTGTGTGCTCCCTCATGCACTTGGCTTTTCATAAATTTGCTCCAGGTTGGCTTTTGTTTTAAATAACTTGCAAAGAGTTTTAAACTTTTCAGAAGCAAGGAAAAAAGCAGAAGTTGGATTTTACTGTGTAGCAGCCTCCAAAACAATAGATACCTTGCAAGCTAAATAAGCTGCAATTCTGTTTAGCTTACTGAAACATTGGTTTTAGGCCCAGATGCAAGAGAAGAAAAAGGAACAATGACATGTTCACCAATGTTTTCAGTTTTCACATTCAGACATTTATTATGCTAGGTGTTTGTGACATTGTGCAATCCTCTCACAAGGGAAAAAGACTACGAGCAGAAAAAAATATTAAATTTCTTATTCTTCCTGTAGCCCCAAAATAGTTTTCTAATTCTCATCAGAGCAGCTGTAGTATTTGCAAGAAATAGTAATAGAAAAGGCAATAAACATGAATTGGAATAATGCTTGCATTCGCTTATTTATATATAACTTTCTGAACGCCAAAAATTTTGGAAACCTACTCCATTAAAATATTCTATAAACTGACTGACACGGAATGGTAAACACAAAGTAAGGTGAATATACCAAAAGATTAATTCCTCAAGGCTTTGTTAGTACTTAATTTCCATGACAATATTTATCACCTACTTCTAAATCAATCAGTTTATAGAATCCTTTAAGAGATGCAAGGTAAGTTTCCAAAGTTATATACAAATAAGTGAATGTAAGCATTATTCCAATTCATCATGGTTTACTGCCTTTTCTGTTATTATTTCTTGCAAATATTACAGCATCTGGAACAAGTGCTTCTTCTGTTCCACAAAGGTTACAGAACCCATGAACTATGACAAGGTATCCTCAAACTCATCATGAAGGTTTGCCCTTTCACTTAAAAAACTACTTTAACAAACAGCTGGGATTATACAGAAAATTCACTGAATTCAGATAGAAATTTTAAATTGTCTCAAAATCAAGTGACTCAGTGTGATCACAAAGTTTTAAACAAAACTAACAATAAAAACACATTGAAACTACTATCCACAGAATAACTATACTTTCATCCATATTAGCATGCCTTGAGCACATTAATCCCTCACCCCCCTACACTCGCAAAACTCTTAAAATATCACTTCTCAATTTGCTATTTATTGTTTGAGCCCCCAGGCTGCTTGCTCTCAGACTTCTTATCTGAGCTCCAGAGTTAATTCAAAGAGTCAGATGGAACAGCCTCAGTTCCCTGGTGGAATATCCCATTCTTGGTTAAGCTCCCTTTTTTTATATTTAGCTTAGTGCCAATAGCACAACACACCAGAGGAGATTGCTTTACAGTTGCAGTTAGTCTTGGGACAATCATACTCCTGGTAGCTTCTTCCAAGGGGCATAGACTTGTCTACAGAAAAGAGAGTGAAAAAAAGCAAAAACACTGTTACCAGGCTTAGTTTTCCCTGCTGGAGGCTCAGGTATCCTCCATGCACTGGAGTCCTACAGCATTGACTTCAATACCTTTTCTACCCTGCAGCAATCCTGCTTCAGCAGAGCCACAGCCTCACTTCTCTGCTGCAAGATGGAGATGAACCCAATCTGGTACTTTCTCCAAAGACACTATCCATCCACAAAATCCTCCCATGTGATGAGGTATTTGTCCACTGTTCATATCTCCTGCCCTCCCAACCAAAAGTATGAGCATGAGAAACACAAGAAAACACCAAAATTACCATGGCTCTGAGATTCACAGCTTCTTCTGAGATTCAAGACCCCTTCTTCTTCTTCTTGGTGCTAAGCTGCTACCTATAGCATTTGTAGCATATTTTGACAATTACAGGGTGCTTGAAAGAGCCCTCTTCAACCAGTGATCAAGGAGAGACAATGCAATAAAAACAGCATTCAAGATAAAGGAATCACAGGACTGTGAGGTTACACACAGCAGCCTGCTCCATCCACTACACTAAATAAGTAGAGCATTCCTCTCTAAAACAATAAAGCATGAACAAGGTACTTACTCAGCCATTTTAGAGATGGAGACATTTAATTACCTCACTGTAATTACCTACACTAAAATCAACCCAGGACCTTTGAAGAAAGCTTCTCTTAAGAGACAAGATAAGCACCTTTGCACTCAAACACCAGGGAAATCTGTCCTCTGAAGTTCACACCATCTGCATCTACAGGAAGGGATGCTGTAGAACTAGATATATTGTAAGTAATAGATAATGAATACGGGCATCATTTTTAGAATAAGTAACTTCAATAAGAATATTACCTTAAGACATTTCAACAGCTATTAAGACAACATTTCAGTGACTCATCTTATTATAGCAGACCACAGGAGACCAGTGTTCCATCATTAGGAAAGCTATAATGATTCACAAGCACCACAAGAGAAACAACTGTGATTCAGCTTTAGGCCCCTTAAAAGAGGAGAGACCCCAGGGAAATATCCATGTCCTACAGAGGACTGGTACTTCCAGGTTCACTGCTGACAATGTGGGAGCTACATGTCAAGCCAGGAGTGATGGAAAATTCAATTGCACAGCCTTCCACACTGCATATTGATCAACTTCTCTCAGTTAAAGCAAGATCTTCAGAAAAATCCTTGTCACTAAGCAGCCATTTGTAAAAGAGGCAGGGAAGAAAACACTTGTTTTTCAAATACCAAAGAATGAGGGAATGAAGAAAGGGTGAGGGAGAACCACACAGATAAACAATTGCTTTTCATCACACCAGGAAGTGCATAAGGACAACTTGTAATTGGTATAATCACTGCCTCTGCTTCTCATAAAGGATTAGTTTTTCTAATTACTGTAAATATTTTTATTGCCACAGCTCACACTGAAGAGTAAACAAAGCTGGGGAAGCAGCTCTCACAGTCCAAAGGACAGAAGGAACATATCTCATAGTGCAGTCATTTCAGACTGCAAGGAAGCTGCTGGCCTTGTAAGCCAGCCTCATCCTCACTCCTCTTCCTCATCCAGCCCTCCCTCTAATAGACTGAGAGGCAACGGCTTGGTTCTTAATGCCAGACGTGATTTCCTCCCCCACTACTTCTAAATTCAGCTTCTCCATAGCTGACTGCAACACTACTCCCACCTTTCCCTCCTGCTCCCCTGCAACTCAGACTTCACTTCCTTCATTAAGTTAATCCACACTTAATCGAGACCTGAAAGCAACACAGCTGCCTAACAAACACACCTGCCCCACTATGCTCGTCATTCTGCTTGTTTACACTTGCTTGTGCTGCCTTGGCTTTGTCTTACCTATGCACAGATCTTAAGGGCAGGAATTAGTATTTTGTACAATGCCTAACATTGCAGAAACCCAATCCAATTATTCACAAGCACTCCTGCACAAAATGTTATTAAATGTCAGCTTGCCTATGTACCAATTTTATTGTTTTTAACAGTTAGACAGAAGCAACATTCATAACTCTGATTATTGAAAAACACAGCTTACACTTTGAAGCTTAAAAAAACCCACCCAACACAAAAAAAAAACCCAAAAAAAAACAAACCACAAACCACCACCTTGACTCCAAATAAGTATCCTTGCTCTGAAGGTTCTTTCACCTTACTCCTATCCTACACCCATTTATTCTATCAATGCTACTGAATTAGAATAAATTTTAAAAAAGAAAATAAAAAATCAGCACTGGAGCAAAGCCATGCCTTTTTCTTAAGCAAACTAGGTATTTAAGGCCTTCTAGGCTGAAAAACAGTCCTTAAACATACTGTTTTATGAGAAGGTAAAGTAAGTCTATTCATACCAAATCAATTTGTTTTTAACCAAAACAGATGTAAACTCATCCCTCCAGAAACACAGATCTTTTGCAAGCAGTTGAAAATGATAATTCTGCTGAAGACTTCTAGAAAACTTCTGATAGTTTCTTCACACTGTGCAGCAAAATACTATGAAATCAATTGGTCAGCAGGCCATAAAAGATGCAGAAGGCTCGAGGTGATCAGGTCTCCTGAGGGCCAGAAAGGATGCTTTCAGTAACAACTGTAACAGAAGCCAGAAGGAGCAGCAAATAACTGAAGGCCTTGTCATCAATGCACAGCCAACTAGATGATCTGCAGAGGATGAAACCATACACCAGTCAATGTGTAAAGGAGCCATGAATGATCATGCAGGTTCAGGTGGCAAACCAGCTGACACCTCTGACAGGCATCAGAGGCCAGTGTACCACAGAACAGCTATAAGTGCATCTCATTAACTTGTAAGTGATTTCCTTCCCAGCAACCACTACCAGTACCTTGACTGGTGACTGTCAGTTTTGTGGGTGGTGTTTTAAGTGGAACATCACACACTTTGTGGTAAATCCAGAAAGAGGTGTAAGGAAAGTGATCCTATAAGGACTCCACTTGAAGAGAGTTCAACCAAAGAAATGCCAATGGAATATCTAATTCAGTGGCAGCTATGAATGGAGAGGAGGAAAAAAAAAATAAAATAGTTTCTCCCAGGATAAGTTTACAAGTAGTTGAAAAAGACAATTCTGCAAAAGTAACAGACCTTGGCTTCCAGAAAACTATTCACAGGCCTAGATGAAATTCAGATATCGTTGGCTAAGTGGGACTGGCTAACCATCAGCCAGTACATGAAACACTTTGAAGCCATTTAATTTAGAAAGACCTCCTTTCACTTCTGTGCAGCTGGGGAAAACAAACAAATAATAAGCCCCCACAACAACGAAAAATACATTCAGCACATACCTGCAGTAGCTAACCCAAGACACACATGGTGGTCTTGAGAACAGGTCAGATTTGACATCCCTGCATAGCAATTTTAACCATAGGAGTCTGGTCTGTTTTCCCACCTGAATCAGAAAAGCTCCATGCTGCTAGGTCAAAAGGGCTGACTTCATCCTTGAGAATATAAATAGACAATAGTAAATAGGATTAATAGTGTTGTAGTACAGGTACAACTCCTAGTGAAATACTATTGCCAGCTCTGAAATTCACAGTTCAAAGATTAAATGCGATCCGATAAAAGAAAAAAAAAAGAAAAAAAAATTAAGATCAACCTCTAAGTGAAATCTACGAACAGTGATCTATTTAGTCAGTTAAAAGGAGAAGGGACAACTCAGTATTCAAGTCTTCTCTCTCCTAGATGAAAAATTCAAGAATTCCAGTCTGAGAAATATGCAGCAACAGGCAGTGATGAAAGCTGAAATTAAACATATTAGACTTCAAGACAAAGCAAAATATGTGCTTTCTTAATGATGAAATAGCTTAAAAGTCCACCCAAGAATCCTGCAGGACACAAGAGTACGTTTTACACACACACACACACACTGCAGTTTCGATTGGGTGCTAGGAACTTTCCTAAAACAATAGTCTTTCCAAACAAAATTTCATGTAAAGGACTTGTACAGCTTAAGCAAGAAGCTGGACTAGCTCACAGGAAGTTCCTTTCACCATGCAATTGATCATTTGTTCTTGCAGGCTCATGGCAGAGAACCTTGCTGATCAGGGAGTCGAAAATATATGAGGTTTTGTTACACCAAATCTGATGTCAAGTCCAGGCACTCTGCAGATCTTCAAAGGCTTGGATCTCAAAAAAAAAAAAAAAATCTCAAACAAAGCAACACTTTAAGTTGTTACAGTGATTTCCACCACAGACGCTAAGACTCACTTATAGAGGAGTGCATCCTCCCAGATGTGTAATGCCTCAACACCAATGCTTCCAGTTCTTTAAAAACCTTCAGAACAAGAAACTAGACATGCTTTGCTAATAAACACTTCCTATCAGGAATCTATACCATTAATGGGAACATTAGACAGATATCACTTGGAGCTACTGAAAGGAACCTATCCAGGAGATCATTCTGAAACTGGGAAACTTGTGGTATCTGTTCCATCAGCATGGCTGATTTTGAAGACTTTTTTCCCCCCCACTAAACCCAGATTAAAAATTAATATTCCACCTAAAGAAAAAGCTGATACCCATTGTTAATGTTTCCCACTTTTTCCTTTTTCTTTAAAAAAAAAAAAAAAAAAAAAAAAAAAAAAAAAAAAAGCAACACTTTAAGTTGTTACAGTGATTTCCACCACAGACGCTAAGACTCACTTATAGAGGAGTGCATCCTCCCAGATGTGTAATGCCTCAACACCAATGCTTCCAGTTCTTTAAAAACCTCCAGAACAAGAAACTAGACATGCTTTGCTAATAAACACTTCCTTTCATGAATCTATACCATTAATGGGAACATTAGACAGATATCACTTGGAGCTACTAAAAGGAACCATCCAGGAGATCATTCTGAAACTGGGAAATTTGTGGTTTCTCTTCCATCAGCATGGCTGATTTTGATTTTGCATTTGAAGACTTTTTTCCCCCCCAAACCCAGATTAAAAATTAATATTTCACCTAAAGAAAAAGCTGATATCCATTGCTAATGTTTCCCACTTCTTCCTTTTTCTTTTAAAAAAAAAAAAAAAAAAAAAAAAAAAAAAAAAAAAAAAAGATGAAAAATTGTTCTGGACAAGATAGCACGTACAGATATGTTGTTAGAATTTAAAATACTTAATCTTCTTATCAATGATATTATCTAAGCCACATATAATGCCTTTTCTTTTTCTTGCTCCAGGAAGCAAAACACAGCAGTATCCCCTCTGCTCCCATACCTTCAGACTGGACATCTGCAAGAAAAAAATCCAGTCCCTTCCAGATGGAAGCAAAATAGTGTCTTCTCTCTCTCTCTCTCTTTTTTTTTTTTTTTTTTTTTTAAATTAAGGGCATCTCAGGGAAACAGGGTCCCACAGACTTTTTTTTTTTTTAAAAAAAAAAATCTGCATAAAAAAACTAACAAATCAGCCTTAGCAGAGGAAAACACAGCAGCAGAGCCAGGTAACCCAGACAATGCACAATTAGTGCTGAAGGTGCCTTCAGCCATTACAGAACATTCCAGGTAACATTAATTCAAAATTAATATAGTGCCTTCCCTTACCATCACAGAACTTATTTTCAGTCTCCCCTTCTTATATGAAGTACTTTGCAAGTTAAGAGTATGCAAGAATGTCAGGAACATAAAAAACACAAAACAACTCAAGGGTAGTCTCAACACCTTTGCATTGCTTCTTGTGAACCTACCAAACAACACTCTTTGTCACAGGGAATAAACTTCATTGATTTTCTTCACATGAACAGGCCATTCTGGAAAACTGCTGTGACTCTGAAAGAAAGGTCAACAGAGTTCAGAAGGATGGAAGTTCTATATGCAGAATCCCAGAGAATTAAGTGACTTCAAGTGAGTCATTGCAGACCAGCTCAGAACCCTTCTGATCTCTTTAGGCAAAATAAAATAAGGAAAAAGCCATGTGCCAGCAAGGTATGATTAAAGATATTTTACTACTCATCTCCACCATGGTGACACCACATTGTTGATGTCTCCTTTGTTCTCAACAGCTGTCATCTAAGCCATCTGCTTTAACTGTTTCTGAATATTTACGTCACTTTGTAACACCTAGGAATCCTCGTCCTACCACAGGAACCTACCATGCCAGGTGATACCCAAATATCAAGCAGCAAATGTACACTCAACAAAAAAAACAAAAAAGGCACACATGCACACACAAAACATGTATTTGTCCCTAACAGCTTACTTTTTTCAAGGACATCATTCCTCTGAATGCCTCCACATTCTTGTGAAGAACATGACTTGAATCTTCATGTATAACACAACTAACGAATTAATTGTCAGACAAAGTGATTCTACTTCATAGTTACTCTTTTTACACCCTCTAACCTCAGTCACACTCCAAATGCACTCTTCTCAGAATATAAGATCTTTACCCAACAACTACAACTTTCTCAATTTGCTAAGGAAGAAACCTCAGCAAAAATAAACCAATTTTGTTTTTTTAGGATCTGGAAATTGAACTCGTGTTAGGAATGTATTATGAAGCATGCCTGGACAATTGTCTGTCACCAGTTACTTGCTTCTCTGAAAAAAGGTTTTGAAAACATTAATTCTCATTTCCAGTCAGAGCATTATAATAAAAATTGTCAAAGCTGCACCCACTCAAAAGATATTCTAAATCAACTCGGTCAATACTAAGCGCAACAACAAGGAAAGAGTTTCCTACTTCCCAGATGTCAAAAGGACGTGAGGAAATAGTAAAGTTCTTCTCACCAGACCTCACAAGTGACATATGGTTCCTTCCTTTCACATGCATTATAGCTGTCATCTCCTGCTATACAACCATCTTACTGTAGTCCATGAGAGATCATGAGCTCAAGCTTGCTCACAAGCTCTGCTAAGTATCAACAGAAGTTACTGGACTTGTAAATATTATTGTCATCAAAAAAATCCCATGCTGCATTGAGTAGTAGTTAAGATGTTGAGGCTACATCAGTCAGGTCTTCAAAGTTTCTTAAATGATCAGCGAAGACTTAATATGAGTACACAAGGAAGAGATGAGAAAAGAAAGGCTAGAAGAATCTTCCACTTTGCAAGAGAACATTCACATGTTTGAAAAAGGGAGTTTACTTGGGTAAAGCACTAACCTCAGAACACAAGAGGTCTTTCTCTGGAAATGAGACAAAATTATTTTATCTTCTGGTTAGCAGCTTCTGCCCTGCTTACTCCTTAAATGTACAGAACACTTCATTTCTCCAATATCACATTAACTGTCTCACATGCTACCAATTACCACCACAAGACAAGTATCATCATCATTCTGCAGACAGTTAAGGGAGACAGCCTTGCCCCAGGCCACAGTGAGTCAGTGGTAGAAGCAGGATGTCATCATCTCTCATTGCTCAGCTCCTTCCTACAGACAGCAAAGTTTTACTACTCCCACTGTCTTAAGAAATGGTATCTTGATTTGCTAAAGTACAATTAGAAAGAAAGCTCTAGAAACCAAGAAACAAATAACTGCTAAAAACCTGCTGTTTAAGTAACTCAGTAAGTGCCTTGATAAAGAATAAGGATATAAACCACACTGTTTCTATGAAGCTAACTAGAGAGACGCTCTATTGCCTGCAGTCACTGTATCTCTAATTTATATCACAAATAAAGCATAAACTCAACAAACTATTTCCTTGTCATTATGAGCCTGATTTGTGCACAGAAAGCCTTCTATGCTGCCTGCAAAAAATGGACAATCACAATGCAGATCTCCAAAGGAAAAAATCCTTCCCTTTCAGTTTTCCAAGGGTTGACTACAACAGTGGTATTTTTAGTACAGCTTACGTAAAAATTGGATGAACCTGGGCATTTCAGGACTTGATGACAGCCATGGTTTCTTTCTTGTGACAATTTACATGCAAGACTGTTTCTGCAGTTTTTGCACCTCTACAATTCATCTGCAGTGGAGAAACACTAAACTGGAAAAACAAAGCAGCAAAGCTTAGTTCTGGACAATACTGCACATTTAAAATGAAATTTTCTTTTTAAAAATGTAAAATATGCTGTTATTGAAAAAATGCTTTCAAGTCTTGGAAGATGATGTTCCAACACACATTAAGATGGCAATCGCTTTGCATATGACTGAGTTGACAAGGCTCTGCAGTACTGATGTAGCACTAGAGCTTTTACCAACTGATTTAAAGCTTTGATGTGGCTCAGGCTTTCTAAGATACCCTGACAGCACAAAGTCTCTGCTGACAGAAATAGCAAGAGTTCCTTCAGCAGCAGACTTGAGCTGGTCCGTTTTAAACTGCAGTCTCCATGGTAGAATTTCCTCATCTGCATGAGATGCTCTGCTAGCAGCTATTGAAGAAATGCTTAAAGGGGATCTCATACCCAGTGTTTAAAGCACTGCACACTGGACTACTTCCCTTGTGACATGACAGTTGAAAATAAGTAACATTTACTTTCATTGTCTCCAGAACAAGAGAAGAAAGTCTTTACCTGCTTTGCTCATCAAGTAAAATACTGCAACTTAGACGAGACAAATAACAAGCTAAATTAAAACAGTTTCAATAAATATTGCCTTGAAATAGTAACAGTTGCTTTCACAGCCTGTGTTGCTCCTGTGCTATGAAAATTGTGTACATTTAGTGCATGTAGAGGAAAAGAAAAAAAAAACAGAGAAAAAAAAGGTGGCAACTCTTAGCAATTTGTATGCTTAGGCATATTTTCCCTCTCATCTTTTCTGTCTGTTCCATTCCATACCCTTCATTGCAGCATTCCTGCCTTCTAGAGTCCCAGCTGCTATGAGAGAAACACCAGAAGTTATCCTTGTCTTCCAGCTATGACTGTCAACCTTTGTTTTCCCCATCTGCTACCAGTACAGCATCCTTGCATTAAAGAACACTGATCTTCTTACAGAGCAAAGTTTGACTCAAGACTCCCGCTACTTCTCAAACATAGTGTATTACAACAGACCAAGTCAAGCTGTATGTATTAATAAGCAAGTTAGCCACACAAAGTCAGCTGCAGTGCTCCAATACCCACTTGCCTTTATATATAGTATATTAAGCTCTTCCTTCATTAAAAGCTGTTGTCTACAAGACACCATCGACATACTAGCTACAATTTCCCAGAGGGCTGATGGTATTTGAACAGAAGAGTTTGCTTCACTTCCTTTCAGCACTGCCTATGATGATAAACTCCTCAACTCAAGAGTGCAAACACACACACAAACCCACACAGAGAGAAACATGTCTCCTCCTATTTGCCAAAAAGCCAAGCCCTGAAGAGGAAGCCAGGGGGTAATGGTAATCAGCCAGATGCTCACTAAGAGAGATTTCTGTACAAGTCATTGAAGCTTTGCTACTTCCCAGATGAAAACTGCCCTAGGAGGGGTGTGGGTCAATGAAGAGAAGACTCTCCCTGGTCAGTAAATACCAAGAGTATTTATTTTATACTGTCCCCTTAAAAAGCTGATGACTATTCAAAGTTCATCTGCCACCTACTAGTGGCCAGTTTGACAAAAAAATCTACGTGCTATCTTGCCTTTCAGAGCAAATATGCAATGTTCAGACTGAAGCTTTTTACAGAAGGATACACAGGGTTTCCTACTAACTGATTTCATGACTTCCATGAAAAAAAGTCTACTAATCAAGCAATCCAGACAGATTACCAGGGGACAGAAGCCTCTATTAAAGCTTAATATTAGAAATGTCAACTAGAGACCCACTACTGAATAATTCAAAGCAAGAAAAGGTCTCTCTCACCTCTTGTCATCTGCTTTGAGCTATTCTTTGGCAACATGTAACAACCAATTTCAGTAAAAGGTGGCTGGGCTGAACCACAGAATGAAGAGGCACACAGGAAAAACAAAAAGAAAACAAAACCCCATAAAATGAAGATAATCTCACCTGCACAAAGCTTATGTATGGACTCCACAGCTTGAATGAGTAGAAACCATCTTTAGACATATCTGAAAAATTCCATGTACAACTGGAAGAGAACTAGCAACTAAAATCTTCTAGCTTCACAATGCTCCTCCGCCTTACCAAAGTAGTTTGGAGTTTCAGAAATTAAAACATATTAATGTATTTTTTTGGACAAAAGCATTGTTTGACTAGAACAACAAGCAAAGTCTGCAATATTTTCATCATATCTTCTGTAAGTGAAATATAATTGCAAAGTTAGAAAGGAATATCAAGCATATATCTTTTTCAGCCCAAATATTTTCAGGCCTGAAAAAAAATATTCCTTCACCTTTCCAATCCTGGTTACCTCACTAAAACGTTTTCTTTCTTTATCAGCAGCCTCCCCAGTAAGTAACAGAAAATGAACTAAGAAGCAGCTTAAGAATTTGACCAATATTGGCTTAGTTACATTGGCAAGTTCAGCAAAATCTGCTCTTCATATTGTGTCATAACAAAAGCTGAGGCAACTCTTTGGTATGGAAGGAAAACTGATCTTAAATCTAACAAGAGGGAGCAAATTAGGAGGAATTCTCTCAGATTTTCTCCACTCCCTGCTAAAGATTTTTGCTGAGATCCATCCAAGTTTCTCTCACCCTCCTCATAAAACACCATCTTAAGGACTCTCTGCATAGCAGTTAAGACGTCATTGTTGGCAAAACTTCATCTTTACAAGAGAAACCAGTATTCCAGCAGCTCATGGTACTAACAAGTTCTTTAAGAACATTCAGACGTGGGTTTGCAATTAAATTTAAAAACCTGTCACCAGTCTTTGTAAGCCTAAATAGGAAAGGTACCAATTACAAGAATTCCCCATTATTCTTTGACTGCTAACTTAGCGAGAGCACACAC